AGCTGTTTCTTTGGAACAAGCTTCAATGCAGGTAGCCTTATTCTGTTGTTTTTGTGCTGTTCTAGATGCTCAGTTATTCTTTGTTTCAATTCTTTTATTTCTTTAGTTAGAGGGTTTTGTTCTTCCTGAGGAAGAGGTGCCTGGTTTCCAAATGAGAACAGTTGTATATCTCTGCTGGATTCCTTCACTGCCAACTCCCCCTGGTTTGCCTCTACATTCTGAATTACTTCTGGTAAGGCTTTGATTTCTTTGCCCTGGGTAAACCTTTGCAGTTCGTCCAATTCTGTTTCTGTGAATACTTTATTTCGTGTTATAAATCGGCGTTGATCTGCTAGTCTCTGTTCTGTTATTTCTGATTCTGGATGTTGTTCTTTCCAGAACTGGTGCATTCGTTTTAGATATCCTCTCTTGTTGGACTTGATCTGTAGTAACAGATCATTATTTCTTTGTTTTCCATCACTGTGTATCTGCGACGGGTAAACACCTTTTCTTCCAGTAGTTCTGCAGCTGCTGGCCCTGGTTGCTCAGCCAACAGTCCTGAGTCCTGTAACCCATTTTTCACCAGATATCCAGGAACTCCAATATCTAGCGCGGACCTTGTTAACCCGGGCGACATCCGAGCCGGTATGGCATTCTGAAATTTACGTCTCACCATATTTTTTATGGGAGAGACACTCTTTGTCTGACTCCTCTGATGAGACCTGTCCAGTATGGTTGAACCTCTGGCATAGCTCTCATCTTCCTCAGAGTACACAAGCCCCACAACCACGTCAAGGTTATTATATTATATTATTATTATTATTATTATTATTATTATTATTATTATTATTGACTACTGGAGAGACAAACTGGCCTACAAGAAAGACCAAATGAAGAACAGAATAGAGGCATGGGAAGACAAAGCACTACATGGCCAATACATTAAAAAAATAGCTGGGAAAGCAGATAATAACAAGACCTGACAATGGCTAAGAGCAGGAAAATTGAAGAAAGAGACCGAGGGACTAATTCTGGCTGCACAAGACCAAGCCTTAAGGACAAATGCATATAAAGTCAAAATTGAGAAGACAGCAACAGACAGTAAGTGCCGCCTATGCAAAGAAGCTGAAGAAACAGTGGACCACCTGGTAAGCTGTTGCAAGAAGATTGCACAGAACTGATACAAGCAGCGGCATGACAAAGTAGCAACAATGGTGCATTGGAAGATCTGCAAAAAATATCATTTGCCTGTAAGCAAAAACTGGTGGGATCATAAAATAGAGAAAGTCATAGAAAATGATAAAATTAAACTGCTCTGGGACTTCAGAATTCAAACAGACAAGCACCTGCAACATAACACCCCAGACTTAACAATTGTCGATAAGAAAGACAAAAAAGTCTGGATAGTGGACGTGGCAGTGCCTGGAGATAGCAGAATAGAAGAGAAAGAACTGGAGAAGATAACAAAATACAAAGACCTACAAATAGAAATAGAAAGACTGTGGCAAAAGCAAGCAAGGGTAGTACCAATAGTCATAGGCTCCTTGGGTGCAATCCCAAAACAACTTGAGCACCACTTGAACACCATTGGCATTGACAAATTTGCTATTAGTCAATTGCAAAAGGCGGCCTTACCACGAACTGCTTCCATCCTGCGACGATATCTGTAATACCATCAAATATCCACATCTGCCTATCCCAGGTCCTGGGTAAGGACTCGATAGATAGACAAAATGCCAAATCCAGTCTGAACATCTGGCCGACTGTGCGATGATCCATAATAATAATAATTGCAAAAGGCGGCCTTACTAGGAACTGCTTCCATCCTACGATGATATCTGTAATACAATCAAACATCCACATCTGCCTATCCCAGGTCCTGGGTAAGGACTCGATAGGTAGACAAAATGCCAAATCCAGTCTGAATATCTGGCTGACTGTGCAATGATAAATAATAATAATAATAATAATAATAATAATGTTGGAAGGGATCTTGGAGGTCATCTAGTCCAACCCCCTGCTCAGGCAGGAAACCCTATACCATTTCAGACAAATGGCTGTCCAGTTTCTTCTTAAAAACTTCCAGTGTTGGAGCATTCACCGCTTCTGGAGGCAGGTTCTTCCACTGGTTAATTGTTCTAACTGTCAGGAAGTTTCTCCTTAGTTCTAGGTTGCTTCTCTCCTTGATTAGTTTCCATCCGTTGCTTCTTGTCCTGCCTTCAGGTGCTTTGGAAAATAGCTTGACCCCCTCTTCTTTGTGGCAGCCCCTGAGATATTGGAACACTGCTATCTTTCCTCCCCCCCCCCCCGTCCTTCTCTTCATTAAACTACCAGACATACCCAATTCCAGCAACCGTTCCTTATATGTTTTAGCCTCCAGTCCCTTAATCATCTTTGTGGCTCTTCTCTGTACTCTTTCTAGAGTCTCAACATTTTTTACATCGTGGTGACCAAAACTGGATGCAGGATTCCAAGTGTGGCCTTACCAAGGCCTTGTAAAGTGGTATTAACACTTCACGTGATCTTGATTCTATCCCTCTGTTAATGCAGCCTAGCACTGTGTTGGCCTTTTTGGCAGCTGCAGCACATGGCTGGCTCATATTTAAATGATTGTCCACTAGGACTCTGAGATCCCTCTCACAGTTACTACTATTGAGCAAGGTACCCCTGTACCAGTGATGGTGAACCTTTTAGAGACCAAGTGCCCAAACTGCAACCCAAACCCCACTTATGCATTGTCGGATGTCAGGTGGGTGTGGCCCATTGGGTGGGTGTGGCTGTGGTGGTAATGGCAGACTGGGTGGGACTAAAAAGTTCAATCATTTATTTATTTATTTATTTATTTTCAGTATTTATATGCCGCCCAATCCCAAAGGACTCAGGGCGGCGTACAAAGTTAAAACAATGATAAAACAATAAAATAAAGCAGTCATAGCGCGAGTCCGATCATATCCCGGCCCCCCGGGGACATCAGCCCCAGGCCTGCCGGAACAGGAGGGTTTTGACGGCCTTCTTAAAGGCCAATCAATCAATCAATTCCAACTTTGCAAGATTTTTTTTCCCACAAGAAGTTGAAATTGACTGATTGAACCTTTTTTTTTTTTCCACACAGCAGTGGAAGCCTAAAGCGAAAAGGTTTTATAAAACCCAGCTGAAGGCCTAGGACTGGGGCGACAGTGCGTGTGTCCACAGAGAGGGCTCTGAGTGCCGCCTGTGGCACCCGTGCCATAGGTTTGCCACCACTGCCCTATATGATACCTGTACATTTGGTTTTTCTTGCCTAAATATAGAACCTTACTTTTTTCACCATTGAATTTCATTTTGTTAGATAGCGCCCAATGTTCAAGTTTGTCCAGATCCTCCTGTATCCTAAGCCTGTCTTCTGGAGTGTTGGCTATTCCTGCCAACTTGGTGTCATCTGCAAATTTGATGAGTTCCCCAACTATCCCCTCATCCAAATCATTGATGAGGATGTTGAAGAGCACTGGGCCCAGAACAGAGCCCTGGGCACCCCACTACACACTTCCCTCCATGGAGATGCGGTTCCATTGAGGACCACATGCTGAGTATGGCCTGTCAACCAGTTACGAATCCATCTGGTGGTGATTCTGTCTACCCCACATTTTTCTATCTTATCAAGTAGTAGGTTGTGATCTACTTTATCAAATGTCTTACTGAAGTCCAAGTAAATTATATCCACAGCATTCCTCTGATCCACTAATTTTGTCACTTGGTCACAGAATGCAATAAGATTTGCGGATGACTCTAAGCTGGCAGGAATAACCAATATCCCAGAAGACAGGCTCATGAATCAAAAGAACAAGAGCGTTTGCAAACGCAGCCTCCTGAAATTTTCCCACTCGAATGTTTTCCAAGAGAGCCCTGGCCTGGTTTCAAGCTCTGCATTTTATACCTTTACAGTGCATGTCACATCTAAGAAGCTCTTTCATCTTTATAGATGTACTTTGAAGTTGTACTTAAAGTCATCCTAACCTCTTCCACCCATCTGCTGTTATCTTGTTTATTTGTAATTTTCACCTAGGGTCAAAATCCCTTTGATAGTGATTTCTACTCAAAAGTGTAAGTTCCTGTGTCTGGAGGATTTTTAGGCAGGAAATAGTAAACATTTGGTCATAATTAATTATCTTTGCTGATTACCATTTGTAGTCATTTTACATGGGCAGGAAACAGTAAATATTCCTTCTCACATATTGGCATTGCATTGTTACATTTACATTACAGTGTTACATTTGTATTAAAAAGACAGTTTCATATAATGGCATTACATTTCTACAATTATTAAAAGAACTTTTATTTCCTTCAATCATTACATTAGAACTTTATTCTTATATTTTATAAAAGAATAACTTTTATTTCCTTCATTATTATTACTACTTAAGCAAGAAAAATCAAATGTCCAGGCACAGATTAGCTGAAACTTGGCTCAACATCAGTAACTGTGAGAGGGATCTTGGACTCCAGCAATGTGCTGCAGCTGCCAAAAATGCCAATATAATCCTAGCCTGTATTAACAGAGGGACAGAAGTGAAGTGTTAATACCACTTTATAATGTCTTGGTAATACTGTACTCAGTTTTGGTCACCACAATATAAAAAAGATGTTGTGATTGAGATGAGCAACAAAGATGAGTAGGGGGCTCAAAGCTAAAACATGCAAAGAACGGTTGCAGGAATTGAGTAAGGAGAAACTTCCTGACAGTGAGAACAAGTAATCAGCACCTTGCCTTCAGAAGTTGTGATTGCTCCAACACTGAAGGTTTTTAAAAATAGATTGGACAGCCACTTGTCTGAAATGGTATAAGGCTTCCTGCCAAAGGAGGGGGTTGGACTAGAACAGGGGTAGGCAACCTCGGCTCTTTTATGACTCATGGACTTCAATTCCCAGAATTCCTGAGTTGAAGTCCATGAGTCATAAAAGAGCCAAGGTTGCCTACCCCTGGACTAGAAGATCTCGAAGATCCCTTCCAACTCTTCTGTTATTTCGTTTTTCTTGGGCCACAGGCTTCCTGGAGAAGACCCTTGCAGAGCGGAGGCCAGGCAGTATCGTGTCTGTGAGCGGGAAGTGAGTACCCTTCTCTCCCCTGCTGAGCCTGTCTTGACAGGCAGCAGGTGGGCTTAGCCGAGAGGTTGTAAGCCTCTTGCAAACATCAGTCATGGGGGGATGGGGGTCAAGGAAAGAGGCACTTGGGGGTCCCAGTTTAACCACAGTCCTCGGAGGCTCAAGGGAACCTTTGCAGGCATGGCCTGGGAGGAAATCCAACAGTCCCGTGGTCTCTGCATGGCCCTCGTGGTCACCAGCAACGTGCAGCACGTAAGTGCACTCCCAGGGTATGGAGAGACAGGTCAGCTGAATGCTGCCCAGGCTGCCTCCTCATAAGTGGGGAACCCCTCCAGATTATTATGGGTCTGGATTTCCCTCCCCCTTTTATGACCCTGTAACAATCTGGGGCGGAGCTGAATGCAGCTGAGATTTACTGGCCGGATGCCCTTCCTGACACCCTCACAGAGTTCCCAGCAGATACGTTCTCTTTGCGAGAAACATCTGCCACTACCTAGGACTGAGCTTTCAACTTTCAGAGTGGGAGGTGGGCGCCTTCACCACTAGGCCACCAGGCCCTTCAGAGTGGGTCCAGAATGCAGGGACCAATTTCTGCCCAATGTTTCTGGTAGGCTCAACAGCACTGTGGGCCCTGTGGGTTCGTGCTTACATTCAAGTTGCATATCTAACATCCAGCCTTGTATTTTAGGACTTTTTAAACATATCATAGTTAACACAATAACAGAATAATAAGAGTTGAAGGAGATCTTAGAGGTCTTCTAGTCCAATCCCTGTTCAAGCAGGAGACTCTATGCCCATTTTGGACCAATGGCTGTCCAGTCTCTTCTTAAAAGCCTCCAGGGATGCAACACCACAGCATCTGTTCCACAGGTTGATAGTTCTCACTGTTAGGAATCAACATAGTTGATACGTTGACGTGTGAAGTTTGTTGTTGTTTTTATTGTTGTACAAGTAGTCTTTGCGTAACAACCATTCACTTGCAGTAACAGTGGTACTGAAAAAAGCAATGAATCAGTCCTCACACTTACGACTGTTGCAGCGTCCCCACGGTCAATGCGATTATGATTTGGGAGTTCGGCAACTGGTGCCCATTTACGACATTCAGAGCATCCTGCAGCTGTGTGATTGCCCTCAGCAGCATCCCCGAAGCCCACAGGGAAGACAATTGCAAGTTGCGGTTATGTTGATGCCTGATTTAACAATCGTGGGCGATTCACTTGAAGACCATAGTGAAAAAAAGCACCACTTAAAGATGAATTTTTCATTCCCTATTGCAGCCATAAATCAAGGACTGTCTAAAGTGATAGATAACACTGATGTTATTTATGAACTTTACGTGGTGCTTTTGAAGTTTTACTAAGTTTTATTACAATGTTGTTATTCTGTGATTCTGGAATGCAGTGTCGGTGTTCTTGTTTGGTATTGTTGACTCTTATGGGCAGCCCATCATCTGGGTGTGTCTTCTCTTTCCATCCTGCAGTCATGTTCTCACCGTGGTCCTCTCCCTTCCCTTCCCCCATCCCTCCCCCCCTCTCCCTCTCCCTCTCTCAGGCCTGCCCAGCTGGCGCTGTCCCCTTCAGGGCAATGCAGTGCGCCCTCTACAACAGCAGGCCCATCCCAGGGGGGCAGGCCCAGTACCAGTGGGTCCCCTTCCATGGAGGTGAGAGCATTGGGGAGGGGAGCCAGGCTCTCAAGATCATCGGGGGGGGGGGTGTGTGTGCTTGGTCTTGGGTTTCTTTCCAGCTTCAGTTTGGGGAGCCCAGTGCTGGGCCTGCCCCAGAAATCAGGACTCTGCCGGGAATGCTATATCTCTGTGTGTTGCATGCTTCACATACACACACAACCCCACAATTGCCTGGGTGGGAATTTGCTGAAAGGGGGGAAAGTGTTTCAAAACTTTTCCTTCCACCTGAGGGGAAAGTGAACTAGGATCCCTGACTGTGGTTGTCCAGGCACAGAGGCAAGTCAGTTGTGGGTATGGGTGGGTGGGGGGAGCGGACAATCTGGTCAGCCCCCTGGAGCAAAGGCAGTGAGAGAGACTGAAAAACTTCAGTCCTGGTCTAGCACTGTGACCTTTAGATCAACCCCCCCCCAATCAAATGGACAGGACAATTTTTTGTGCCACTGCCTGGCTCTCATGCCCCCTCTGCCTCCTTTGCCCCCCTAGCTGCCAACCTCTGTGACCTAAACTGCCTGGCGGTGGGACACAATTTTTACTACAGCTTTGGCCGAGTCCTGGACGGAACCCTCTGCAGCCCAGCATCGCCAGATCTCTGCATCAGCGGCCGGTGCTTGGTGAGTCCTGTCAGGGGGAGGGGTGTGATGGAAGCGCCAGAGAATTTCCCAGGAAGCACTTTCCAAGGAGGGGGCGGCACAGCCCCCCCCCCCCGGAGCAGGATGGAGGCAGAGGAAGAGACTGAGAGCCCTCCCTAGAAACTCCGTTCAGCTGAGGGAAATAAAGGTTAGTCCGGCAAGATTCTGTCTGCCTGGTCCAAGGAAATAAAGAACTAACTTTGGCTGGATTTTTCAATGTTGTTCTTGGGCTGGCCCTCCCCGCTTTTGGCCACGGCCCAGATCCTCCTATTCTCCAGCATTGGACTGTCCTTGGCCGTCACTCTCCAAATGCAGCAAGAGAAAAACACAAAAGTCCACACAAGTGAGGCGTATCACAAACCGAGGAGGCGCTGCAGCAACAGCAGCCTCATTGTTGAATGAGTGGCTAAAGGAAAGTTGTGGGTGTTGTCGTTTTCTAGAGGAGCAGAACTCCGGAGGAAGAGCAGCCCACCCACAAAACAAGTGCTTGCCTTTATGGGGGGGGGAGGAAGAAGAGGAGAAATGCTTTCTCTGGGGAGGGTTTCCCTGCCCCATCCCAGGATGTCCTCAGGCAGCAGCTCTAGTGGTCAAGGGGTGCAGGGCAGCCTTGCGACACGAGGGGCAGTGGGCTTTCTCCATCCCCCCATAACAAGGGGTGTCCCTTCCGGGCACCTCTAATTGCCGCCCTTTCTCCAATCCCTCAGACAGCCGGTTGTGATGGGATCCTGGGCTCCGGGGTGCTGGCCGATGCCTGTGGTGTCTGTGGAGGCCGGAGCGAGTCCTGTGTCTTCGTCCAGGAAGCCTTCCGGGCGGCGATTCCCGCCTCTGGTGATTGAATGCGCTGACGTGGGTGAAGCTTTGGCTTTTGTCAACCCACCCCCTGCCTCTCCTCCTCCTCCTCCTCCTCCTCCTCCTCCCCTCCCCCCGCACGCCTCTCTTCCTCCCCTGCTGCTGCTCTGCTGGCTGGCCGGGGCTGTCCTGAAGGCGGGTCTCGCCCATCTGCCACGCCTGGTGATGCCTGGTGCCCTCTAGGAGCCCCATCTCCAGGCTTGCGGGCCGAGCACCTGGCACGTCCTTCCAACCAGCTGAAGCATTTGCACCTGCTTCCTGCCCACAGAGGGGGCACCGAGCACTCCTTGATGGGCTCTCATCATTCTTGGCACGCGAGAGCGACACAAAAATGCTCCTAGGCAATGGGCAGACACCCCTGGCCCTGCTTGGAGACCAAAAGCAGGCCGTAAAGGGTTAAGAAGGCGTAAAGACAGGAGAGACGCAGTGTGAGTTTGTGAAATTTACAGAGAGGGCAAGTGTGGAATCAGTCTCAATGAAGCGTATCCAGGCACATCCAGGACAGATGTGGATACATAATCACAACATGAAAGTGGGGGAAATGAGGGAGAGTTTGCAAGCACAGCAAGGTTTGGGAAGGTGCCCTGGATGGCATCAGAATAGAATAGAGCGGGAGGTCTTCTAGTCCAGCCTCCTGCTCGAGCAGGAGAAACTGCATCATCTCAGACAGGTGGATGTCCAGTCTCTTCTTAAAAACCTCCAGTGATAGAGCGCCCACGGTTTCTGGAGGCCAGCTGTTCCACTGGTTGATTGTCCTCCCTGTCAGGAACTTTCTCCTCAGTTCTGGGTTGCTTCTCTCTTTGGTCAGTTTCCAACCATTGTTTCTACTCCTTTCCTCTGGTGCTCTGGCCCCCTCTGCCTTGTGGCAGCCCCTCAGATACTGGAACACAGCTATCATGTCTCCCCTATTTCTTCTTTTCCTTAGACTAGCCAGACCCAAGTCCCGTAGCCGTTCTTCGTATGTTTTAGTCTCCAGGCCCCTGATCATCTTAGTTGCTCTTCTCTGAATTTTTTCCAAACTCCATCAAACCATTCTAAGGACACTGTACAAACGACACAGTTGCAGATTGTGCCCTCTTGTCCCGTCCCACCTCCTGCGCACTTCTCGTCCAATCTCATAGACCGGAACTGACAAGTGCGTACCAGGACATAAAGTGTGTGCAACACTGGGAGGTTGCAGGTCTGCCCCTGAAGGTGGGAGTGCCAGTGGGTGATGTGGATTCTGACAACAGGAGAGCCAGGGATGAATTTGGAAATGGAAGGAAGGTGGGGGGAGAGGATGGCCTGGTTTCCCCTGGTGAAGAAAGTGGGGGAGGGAGGAGGCTGGAAGGGCAGAGAACGACAGGCAAGCTGGGCCCACACGGCAAAGAAATGGCCCTAAGTCTAAGAGCAGGTTGGGAGAGAAAAGAAAGAGGGTGGAGAAGGAGAAAGGGCCAGCCTTCGATTAATCTTCCAGAAGAAATAGATAGAAAATGGGCCCTTCCTCAGAGCTGCATTCATGGGCACTCCTCCGGTCCTTGAATTGGCATGGAGACCCTGGCGTGGGTCTCACAAAAGCCAGGCATTTTCATGTCATCATTCCTCCCACCATGTGAGGATGGGTCTAGAAGTGCCCTGGAAGTGGATGGGATGACATAATTGGTAGTCAAAAAAAGACCGGAGGAGGGGAGGGTGCCGTCAGGAGAAACTGGCGATGAAACAAGGGAGGATCGAGAAGGAAACATGAATACAAAAACGGAGGAGAGAAACCCATGAAAATTGCATCATGAAAATTCACAAGGATTGGATTGAGAAAACAAAGCAGACGAAGCTACCAATGGCAGGCAGGAGGCGCGTGAACGTCTTTTGAGGACCAGGCTGATGGTTGGTAAGAAGCTGAAAGACAGGAGAAGTTCAGAGAAGAGGGAAGGAAGGAAGGAAGGAAGGAAGGAAGGAAGGAAGGAAGGAAGGAAGGAAGGAAGGAAGGAAGGAAGGAAGGAAGGAAGGAAGGAAGGAAATGGTCACTAGAGTTGAAGATGACTTGATGGCACATAATCACAATATGGAAGTGGTGGAAATGAGGGAGAGTTTGAAGGAACAGCAAGGTCTGGGAAGGTGCCCTGAAGAGCACTGAGCTGTCTAAGCCATCCAGGAACTGTGCCAAACACCTCTTCTGAGTGAGCGCCATCATGGGAGGTCACAATCCTCCGAAAGCAGAGAGTCGGGGATGGAGAGCAGCTGCAAAGGCCAGGAGGGGGCAGTAGCCCTGGGAAGCCACCCAGGAGTCCCCCCCCCCCAGCACAGGTCCCATTTCTCTTGGGGCCCCACCCCTCGGATCTTCCCTGCCTCTGCCTCTCTCTGACTGGCTCCCCTCTGATTCTTCCCAACAGGTTTCTTTGGGTACAGGAATGTGACCCGGATCCCAGCTGGAGCCAGACAGATCAGGGTGATCGACCACAGCCGCAACTACCTCGGTAGGTCCGTCCTTCCCTTCCTCCCTAGCTGTGGCTCAGATCAGCCCCAGGCTTCCTCCTTGCCCACCCCCCAGTCGCTGGAGGTTAAGGATGGGCAGGGCGGGAGGGGCAACAGGCATCCAATCCTGCCAAGCCCTAGTTTTGTCCAATTCCTCAAAGGGGGTGCACAGCCTGGAACCCCAGCCCCTGGGTGCCCCACCTGTTCTGTACCAAGCAGAAGAACTGCTTCGCTCTCGCCCAACACCGAGTAACTCCACAGAGGGATGGCATTCAGACTGTTTATTCTTCAGGGATCTCTAAACAGTAACTCACAGTTAATGAAGAGTTCTTCTGAGACACGTTTCATAATCTGTGCATTCTTGTGGTGTAAAAGAGTAGAGGTAAATTCACCCCATGTTCCAACGGAGCAAAGGGCCTCGTGGCTGGACTACACAAAGACTTTAACGGAGCTCCTAACCCTCCTGGCTAGGATTCATGGAGGGAGAATAGACTGGCACTTAAACAGGATATCCTGTAATAAAAACACAAGACCCTCCCAGTGGCCAATCCTAACACAGATATAACCAGGTAACAACTAAAACTGCATTTCCCAGAAGACCACCCTTAAGAGACCCCCTCCTCTGCTGGGAGGGAGTGTGGGACGGCTCCCCACTCTGGAGGCTCCAAAGGAAGGAAAATAGCCCAAAGCAGACAAGGAGCGCCACCAGGGCCTGTGGGCATGGGAACAAAACGCCACCTCCACACTCAGCAGTGCCCACTTGTGGGTGCCTCGGCCCCAGAGAAGGGCAGGGTGTGCTGCTTCCCTCTCCTGGCCAGATCTCGGGACAGCCTTCCCCTCCTCAGAGGGCACTGCAGCTGCGGGTGCTGCCCCCCTCCCCCCGGCTCCTTGAAAGAGCATGGAACATAGAATAACAGAGCTGGAAGGGAGCTTCACGGTCTTCTAGTGAAAGCCCCTGCTTGAGCAGGAGAGCCCGGCCTATATCATTTCAGATAAATGATTGCCCAGAGGGATGGCACTTCTTCTGTCGAACCCTTCTGCAACACACACACACACCCAATTGCTTCCTGCTTTGGGGCCTTTTCTGTGCATCCCTGAGTAAGAAAATGGAGAACCAGAGCTGCTCAGAGGCCCTCCCCTCCAATCCCCCCACCGCATCTGGGAATTCAGCCCTTGGCTTTCTGCTCCACGCTGGACACAGGGTGTCTGTCATGGTTGTGGCAAGCTGAGGCGAATGAGCAGTCCCTACATTCCCTGCTGACCTGGGTGCTGCGAGGCCCAGATGGCTGCTTCTCAAAGCAGTGGAGACCTCCAAACCAAAGCCCTCGCCCTCCCCCCCCACCCCCTAGTTCTTCCGCTTTCTCTCTCCGGAGCCCCCCTCCCACCCCAAACCCTTCCTGTGCTCCCTACCTCTGCAGCCCTGATGGAAGCAAACCAGCACTATGTCCTCAATGGGGAGTGGGCTGTGGATCGGCCAGGTGCATTCAAAGCAGCAGGCACCCAGTGGCATTACACTCGCACGGATAACGGGCACGAGACCCTTGAGGCGGCTGGACCCACAAGCGAGGATCTGTTTATCATGGTGAGAAGAGAGGGGATCCCCTAGAAAAGGAAATAGCACAAATCACTGTTTTTAGCCCCTTCAGAGACGGCCACCTCTGGACACTAAATGCTGGGTGGGAGGGACAGGCCACCCTCTGATCTGTGGGAAACAGTGCACAGAACGTGTGTCTTTGGCTTCTCCTGGTTCTCTAGACTGGTATGCAAGGAAGAAAATTGTATGGGGCCGGGAGCAGTTTTGCAAGGGCAGGCAGCTGGAGAGGGGCTGCCCCTGCTTGTGAGTACGCCTGGCCTCTGCTAACACCCCCCCCAATCCCATTGCCAGGTCCTTTTTCAGGAGGAGAACCTCAGCATAGACTACCAGTACTGGGGGCCAAGGAAGCAGATCCCCCACCGCGCACAGGGGGAGGGCCATGCTCTGCGCCAGGCCCAGGCCAGAGAGGTAGAGGCCCAGCACCCAGAAGAGCCTGCAGACTTTCCTGAAGCCACAGCAGTGACGCGACGTTTCACCAAGGCCCAGGAGGTGGCCAACGAGGCGCTGCAGAAGAAGGTCACCCCAGCACCGAGGACTCCTACAGCACCAGGTAGCTCTGGGGCAGGCGCAGAGGGGGGAGCCCCCAATTCTCTGAACCGTCCATTTCAATTTCTCCGGCAGACGTAGGTAGAGAAGCGATGGGCAGGGGAGGCATGACAGATTTCTCAGTGGAACAGCTGGCCCCGTACCCCAGCTGTGGCCCCAAAGGCCCATAGACACACAGTAGCACCCTCTAGCTGAGCGATGCCACCCCAACTTCCCACAGGCTACTTTATTCTTTGTTAATGAAGTTAACAAGAAATCAAGCTGGAAGTCCTTTGGAAAGGGCTGCCCCCGAGAGAAGGATCAGGCCTTCCTTGCAGGGGGTGGGGTGGGGAGGGTGGGCACCGACTATCTAGGCCACACTGTGACACATGCTCCTGGGGAAGGAGTCCTTAGTAAGGGATGCTCATGCGTTGGCAGGCAGATATCCCTGTGAGGCAGAGACGCCTTAGCTGGCAAGCCCAAACTCTGAGAGAGTGGGAGGGGGGCCTTGAGGTCATCCACTTCCAACCTGCTCAAACAAGCCTTTCACCCAGATCCATCCAGCACCAGAAACCCACCTCTCCCGAGGCCTCCCAGGGGCCTATTTCTCCCAACAAGGAGCAGGCAGACCAACGAGACTGTTGGATATCAGAGTCGCTGCCATAGGAAGCCCTAAACACGGGCACAGATCCTTGACCAATCACAGCCATATCCTCGACCTCTTCCGCTGGCTCTGTGACTGGTCATGGGCTGCCAAGCCACCCTCAACTCTTAGCAGGAGACTCTCCCGCTTAGCTGGTCCTTCGGGGTCTTCCAACGGTGTGCATCTCCCCTCTAACAGAGTTTGTTCCCCTTGCCAAAATAGGGTAATCGGCTGGGAGCTGCTTTCCCCATTGCACTTTCAGGAGCTCCTCAGCCCACAGGTGCAGTTGCGCCAGTCCCTCAGCTATCTGCATTCAACTGAGATGGGTAGTGCAACTGCCCTCCTCTCCATCAAACCAGCTGGCATCATCAGCCTCTAAAAGCCCCCCCCCACTCCTGCAGGTCAGAGGGGTGGCAGCTTGACCAGAAACAATTGGTGGGCCTAGGCCGTTGGAAAAGCACACTGCCCCCTCCCAATTTCCCCATGGGATGCTGCCTTTAATCCAGGAGAAGGAGGCCAAAGCTCAGCCCAGGCCAGGCCACAGCCCTAACAGTCTCTCTCTCTCTCTCTCTCTCTCTCTCTCTCTCTCTCTCCATCTCTCTCTCTCTCTCTCTCTCTCTCTCTCTCTCTCTCTCTCTCTCGGCCTTGCAGGACGGTGTGGGAAGTGCGACCCGCCGAGAGGGAAGTCGCAACGCCTTCACCACTACTGCAACAGCGATTTCGGTAGGTATTCTCCCCCCTTGCCGGGCTGGGCTGAGGGAGAGACCGACTGCGCTGCGGGGAGCTTCTGCCGCGCACCTGCACAGAACTCGGGTCTCCCGGTGCGCCGGTTCCTCCCGTCCGTCCATGTCGGGCTCCATTCAGGCTGCACAGAAATTGACGTTATGCGGCTTGTTGTTGGAAGAAACTGACGCCGGCGCTTAAAGCGGCTCTCCGGCTGTGCCTCGTTCGCGCACCACAGGAGCCGCGGCCAGACGGCCCGGGACTGCGGCGCTGGCGCGCCAGGAGGAACGCGCGGAGTCCGCATCCCGGGGGAGCCGGCTTCCGCGCTAGGAAGGCTGCCTCCGTCCTCCCTCCCTCCCTCGCGGACAAGGGCGGGTTGCAGGGGACCCGGGGGAGGGGGGAACCTAGGCTTTTCTCACCGACCGGCGGGCGGGCTTCTTCCCGGCAGTCTTCCGAGCCAGGATCCTCTCGAAGCGCTACGTCGGCTCCGAGACGCGCTACGATGTGCAGGTGCTGCAGACCTACCGCAACCGCTTCCCGCTGCGTTCGCGCGAGTACCTCTGGGTGCCCAACACCTGCGACTGCCCCCACCTGCTGGAGCGGCGCGAGTATCTGCTCATGGCGCGGAACCACGTCAACTTCGAGCAGACCCGCAACCGGCTCCTGTTGCAGCGCGGAGGCTACGCCCGGCCCTGGTCGCCCCGCGAGGATCTGCAGCTGCGCGACGCCGCCCCGCGTTGCCAGCCCGGCCCGCCCGCCTGAGAGCCTCCGCCTGCGCCAGGGAGCCGCGAGAGCCCCCCCCCCCGACTGCTGAGCGCGCCACGGACGCCCCTTGCGCCCTGCCCGGCAGGGGAGCGCGCGCTTCTGCGCCCAGACGCCGGACTCCGCAGCCACCGCCGGCGCGCTGGGCTTCTGAGCCGGCCGGCCGCGCGGCACACCCCGCTGCGCCGCGTCCAAGCCGGGCGAGTCCGGGAGGCTCTCTCACCTCCCCAGGACCGAGCGGAAGGGCGTCAGATCAGCCCCGAAATTGTCCCCCGGAAGAGCCTCCGAGCCCCGGGCGCCCACTCGCCTCTGGCTCCCTTGGGTGATGCTGCTCCCGGGCGGGCGGGCGGACGGACCGCACCAGCCGCCCCGTTCTGTTTCAGGCTCAGGGAATCGCCCCGGGTGTTTCTCCTGCCACCACGGAAGCCATCTTCGGCCCATTATCCTTGCATACCTTTTACATTCCAACTCGGTATCGTTAACCTTCGGATGGAATTTTAAGTTTAAAATAAATGTACACGTAAACCACAAGCAGGAAACCAGCTTAAATGCTACTATTAAAGATTTGTAAGTTTATGATATATGAACACAAATTTAAAGAGGTAATGAAGCCAGTGACTTAAAAAAAAAAAAGCCTAAAACTGATGTTACCTTGTTGGGTAACGAAACACTTGCCAAAAGAAAAAAAAACCCACCAAGTTCAGAGAGAACCAAGAATCCTGAAGTTCAGTCCTGAACTACAAATATCCTCTTGAGTTTATAAGCCTAAAATTAAAAAAAAAATAATTTAAAAAAATTAAATTACAAATGAATTTGCAAAAACGACGATTCCGCGGAGAACGAGATCGGCGCCTCCGCATCCCTCCTCCTGCTCGCACTTACGGCAAAGGCCGGCAGGGGGCGACGGGAGACCACCGAGACCTCAGAAAGGAAATCCAGCTGAAGGTGGTGTTTAAAGAAAGCCTGGAACAAACTGTTGCCACCAGGTACCATCAAACGGGGGGAAGTCCTTCCTGCAAGATAAACCCCTCCAAATAGCCTCAGTCTGTTTTTTAAAAAGGGGAACTACCTCACAGTGACTCTAGTGCTGTAGTCGTCAGGGCAGGTAGGTCGCTGTGAAAGTCCCACACACCCACGATGGCTTCAGGAGAGCAAACGGGGTGAAGAGGAGAGCCGGAAAGGTCAGTTCCCACTCTTGGCTGGGGGGGGGGGGGTATTCCAAAGCGCAGTAAAAGAATCCCAGCCGGAACACAAAGCTCAGGCCGGGAGTTGCTCTGGAAAGGTCCCCAGGGCGGCTCAGAGACCCCTTTCAAAACCAAGAGGCCGCCCTAGCCCAAAGGAACAGCTGTGCTCCAAGAAGAATTGCAAGGAGAACCTGGCAGAAAGCGAATCAAAGAAAATTCTCTGTCCAGACTAGGCGATATGCCGGGGGCACCACTAGGCTCCCCACTGAAGAGTCTGGAAAGGAGCCATCGCTGATGGGAGAGCCACCCCATTCGGCCTGAAAGATCTGGATAATCTGCATTAACTCTTATTATGTCATTGTATATTTTGATTTTACTGCCCTGCCTTGTATGCGGAGTGGGTGTCCGTATAAATTGACTGAATAAAGTGATCAGCCACCTTGGTAAAACTAAGCTAATTCCTGGGGCCAGGCGGGACCTCCCCAATTGTAGCAATGACCTCCTGGGCCGAGACCAAAAGAGGCCTTTGTTTCAGCAGCATGGGTCAGTCCCTGGGCACCACATTTTAGGAGGGATATTGAAAAAGGGGGAGAGGTCTCCAGGGGAGAGCAAGCAAGGTGAGGTGGGGCCCGAAGAGCAGCGGTTGGGAGCCTTGGGGGTGTTTAGCCTGTGGGATGCGTTGGGGTGGCTGAACGCAGAGGCTGGCTGTACGGGAGCCGGAGGGCCTTCGGCCGGGGATTCCCGCACTGACACCAGGGACAGCCTGGTGATCTCCAAGGTTGCTTGCACGCCATGGATCTGTGAAAGGAGTTCCCCCTCGTATCTCAGGGCTGATGTCGGCAGAACAGGGAGACTCAGATGCACCCTCCATGGAGGCTGGTCCCTGCCACGGGGATCTCTTCTGAAGGGAGGTGGCTATGCCTGCCACTCCCAGGTGTTGAACCTGCGCACAGAGGCCACTCCGTGGATGGGGAGGGGACAGGGGAGACTGTGGCCCACTTCCTGGCATGTCTCCTTGTAGGGGTCCAGAATCACCATGTTTGGGACGGCGGTGTTCCCACGCCTCTCCGCCAGCAGATAGATGCGTCCGTTGGCCGAGCTGCATCCTTCAAAGAACTTCTGAGCCAGGCCGTCCTCCTCCACGGGGGTCCACTCGTCAGTGCAGACATCGAAGCGGAAGGCCCCCCCTCCGACAGTGTAGAGGGCCCCGTTCAAGGCTGCCACACAGAGGTCATACCTAAAGGGGAGAGAAGCAGGGCAGGGGGAGGGAGGCACCCACAAAAGACACTGTTCTTTGGAACTAGTTGGATCCACTGACGGGAGTCTCCCTGCCCCACGAGGAGCTCCCCCCAGGGCCTGAACTGACGGCAGCCGACGAGCTCAATCTGGGGCACCCATCGGGGTGGGCTTTCATACGGTAGTTTCATCTTTCGGAAACCTGCATGAGTAAGGAATCTTTCCCCCCAAGGCACGTCTGACGGAGGGCAGAAATGGCCCCCAAGCCCACCTTTTGGCCCGGCCTCTTCTTTGGCCACACAGGACACTCTCCCCCTCCCACAAAAAAACACAACACCCCAGGAAAGCCAGGCGCAGCCTCACCTTGGCAGCGGTGAGAAAGAAACAACATCCCACGTGTCTCTTTCTATGTCCAGCCGCTGAACTGCCCGGCAGACGTCCCCGTTCTCATCCAGGCCACAGACCACATAGATCCGCGTCCCCACACCGGTGGCTCCGGCTCGTTCCACGGGGTGGATCAGGGGACTGGCGGGTTCCCAGGAGGACTCCGCCAGGGCAAGGCGCTCAACGCTGGGGGTGATGCCCTCCGGGGTGCTGCCCCCCATCACGTACAGGTGGAAGCCAACCCCCACCGCGCAGTGGCTGTCGCGAGCCTCCTTCATGGCTGGCCCCTCCAGCCAGCGGTCATCCCAGCTGTTGTAGATCCACACCCGGTCCACGGGGGCCCAGAGAAACTCCTCCCGGAAGTTTCCTCCCGTGACGAAGAGGAGGTTGCCTGCAGAGAGAGCACAGGGAAAGCAGGCGCTGTGCCCGGAGAAGGAAGGGCGGCACTTCGCTCCTGGCTGGGAAAAGAAAAGGGTTGGGCCGCTCCCTCCTGGCATGGGGAGGCGGCCCCCTTGCCCTGCCCGGGACCCTCAGGAACAGCGCACCAGGCAGACTCACAGCAGCGCCCTGTGGGGCACCCTAAAGTGGGGCAGGCTGACTGCCACCCACGGGAGGGGGGAGGAGTGGGAGCCCCTGCCTGGAGCCAAGGGTCCCAGGCGAGCCCCAGAGGCAGCTGTTCCCCAAGGACTGGCGTTTCAAGGTAGGTTACCTCAGAACAACCTGCTCCCTATTTGGCCACCACGCCGAGTGGCCTTCCAAACTGTCTCGCTCTGCCCCACCTGCTTTCTCCAGGGGGCGCTCGGAAGCGAGTGGGCTCCTGGCCACCCAGAAGCGGAGGAACTCTCCTCCCGTCCCTGCTTCTGCCCAGAGAGCCTTCGGAAGGCTGCCACCCAAGTGCACTTTCTAGCTTGCAGCCCATCCAGACTTGAAGCCGAGCCCCGGATTCAAATCCCAGCTCCCGCTTTCTTCCAGTTCCTCCCTGGCCAATGGGAAGGGAGGCCGAAGGCCCAGCAGCTGCAAAGCCAGGAACCGGCCCCAGGGCAGAGAGCTGAGGAGCCTCTCTGGCTATAGGGCAGCTCTGGCAAGGGGGCTCCTAGAGCGAAGCGCATCTTGCTTGGCTCATCTTATCAGAAGGGCTTTTAAACTAAGATTGAGGGGCGGGGGCAATCTTCACGACCTTTAGCACCTAGTTCCAAGCAAAAACCACTAGATAACCAATCACGTAGGGAGGGAGTAAAGAGAAAGAAGAAATAAAAAAAGAAAAACATAATGAAGTATAGAGAGTGATGGAAAGGATACAAACAGACCCAACAAAAGAAGTGGAGTTGCATTGTATACAAAAGATCACTACAGCTCTACAGAAATCCACAAAACCAAGGATGAAAACCTCCCAGAATCCATTTGGGTTAATATAAAAGGAAAAAGTGACATTATCATAGGCATATATTACAGGCCACCCAATCAAGCAGAAGAAATAAATGGACTCTTTGCTAATCAATGTAACACAGTAGTAACGGGAGACTTTAACTACCCTGAAATCAACTGGGAGACAAACTCTGCAGCCAGCGGGAGATCAAACAGATTCCTAACCAACATAGCCAACAACTTTATCACCCAAAAGGTGGAGGAGGGAACTAGACGTAAAGCCACACTGGACCTAATTCTTACTAATAGAGAAGAAGTGATAGAGGGAGTAGAAATTGCTGGAGCTGTGGGGGAGAGTGACCACGTCATGCTGGAATTCAATATGATGCAAACATAAGCAATAGAAAATAAACCAACCAGTGTCTTAAACTTTAAAAGAGATGATTTTTAACAAACTCAGAGAGCCTAAGCAAAATTTCATGGATAAAAATCCTAAAGGGGAAAAGGCTCAGAATGAGCAAAAGCTCAGAATGAACAAAGACTTGTAACAAAAGTCAAAAATAATAAAAAAAAAATCTTTCAACATATAAATAACAAGAAAAGAGTCAAGGAAACAGTTGGTCCACTAAAGAGAGAAGATGGCAAGGAAGAGAAAGCAGCGCTGCTTCACTCATTCTTTGCTTCTGTCTTCAGGCAAAAAGAAACTATAGCCCAACCTAACAAACACATAACTGTAAAAGACAGGCTAGAAATAAAAATTAAAATAAGAAAATGGTAAGAGAACCTTGATAAATATAAATCACCAGGACCTGACGGATTACATCCCAGAGTTCTGAAGAGCTGGCAGATGTTATCTCAGAACCGTCGCACCACATCTTTCAAAAAATCCTGGAGCACCAGGGAAGTAACTGAATATTGGAAAAGGGCTAATTTGCTTCTCATTTTCAGAAAAGGAAAAAAATCAGACCAGGAAACTACAGACCAAGCAGCCTAACATCATTACCTGGGAAAATACTGGAAAAAATAAACAAAAAAACAGATCTGTGAACATCTAGAAGCAAACAAAGTTATAACGAGCAGCCAGCACGGGTTTGTTAAAAAAAAACAATCATGCCAAACCAATCTTATTTCATTCTTTGACAGAATGACTAAATTAGACTACCTGCGAAATGCTGTGGACGTAATATACTTAGACTTCAGCAAGGCATTCCACAAAATAGACCACAACCTACTCCTTGGTAAGCTAGAAGAATGTGGGATAGGCAGCACCACCACCAGATGGATCTGTAGCTGGCTAACAAACCGTACTCAGAGTGTAGTCCTCAACGGCACCACACCCACACAGAGAGAAGTGAGCAGTGGGGAACCACAAGGCTCCGTCTTAGGCCCAGGACTCTTCAACATCTTCATCAATGACTTAGATGAGGGAATGGGAGGGGAACTCATCAAATTGGCAGAAGACACTGAGCTGGCAGGAATAGGCAACACCCCAGAAGACAAACTCAGGAACCAGATGGATCTTCACAGACTTGAACAATGGGCCCTATCCAACAAAATGAAATTCACTTAGGCAAGAAAAACCAAAGGTACAATTATAGAGTAGGTGAAACCTGGCTCAAAAACAATAATTGTGAGAGGGACCTTGGAGTCCTAGTGGACAGCCACTTAAATATGAGCCAGCAGTGTACAGCAGTAGCCAAAAAAGCTAACACAATCCTTGGTTCTATAAACAAAATAGAATCAAAATCACGTGCAGTATTAATACTGCTTTATAAAACCTTAGTAAGGATATACACCTGGAATACTACATTCATTTTTGGTCACCACATCACAAAAAAGACATTGAGACTTTGGAAAAAGTACAAAGAAGAGCAACTAAGATGATTAAAGGCCTGGAGACAAAAAAAATAGGAAGAACGGTTGCAGGATTTGGGTATGGCCAGTCTAGAGAAAAGAAGGACCAGGGGGGACATGAGAGTAGTATTCCAGTATTTGGGGGGGGGGGGTCAAACCTCTTCTCCAAAGCACCAGAAGGCAAGAGAAGGAAGAATGGATGGAAACGGATCAAGGAGAAAAGCAACCTGGAATGAAGGAGAAACGTCCTGAGTGTGAGGAGGAGTTAACCAGAGGAACAGAAGTTGCCTTCAGATGTTGTGGGAGGCTTTTAAGAAGAGGCTGAGACGGGTACAGCATCTCTCCTGCTCGAGCACCTCCGAGGTCCCTAAAGCAGCTCTATTCTGATTTAGGAAGCCAGGAGCTGCTCTGGCAGTTCTTCTTGGCCCTCCTTGTTGCAGGGCTGCAGTCCAGAGCCCCCCCCCCAAGGGAAGGAGCATTACCCACGGCAGCCACAGCGTACTGGGTGAGGTTTTTGATCTTGAGTGGCGAGCAGGCCTGCCAGGCTCCCGTCTTGGGCAGGAAGTGGAAGAGCTCCTGCTGCTCTTGGTCACGTTTCCCGGCCACCACGAAGAGGGTCTCGTAGCTCCGGCTCGCGCAGGGGGCCTGGGTGGCCTCCTGCCAGTTGGGGGGTGGGAAGCGGTCCAGCTCTTTCAGCAGCTGAGCCAGAGGGTCCAGCCCAGGGCGCTTGCTGCGCTCCACCAGGAGGCTTAGGAAGGGGAGGCTGAGGAAAGGGACCCGCACCAGGCCCACCAGCTCCAGAAAATCCTTGGCCCGCTGGGGCAGGTCTGCCACTACCCACTGCTTCACTGTGTCAAAGACCACATCCTCACAAACCACGAAGAGCTCGTCGCTCTGCAGCAGCTCCCTCAGAGTCGCCTTGGGCAGCTCCTCAACCTCACCGTGGATTACCACGTCAGCCCAGTGACTGAGGGCCACATTGAGGGCAGCAGAGTCGAGTGCCGGGCAGGCAAAGTGCTGAGCGTAGGCCCTAAGGCTGAGGCAGTTGGAGACATGCAGCTCCCTTTCCAGAAAGGTCTCGCAGCGCCTCTTGGCTGCCTCCAGCCGCAAGAAGTCAGCCGTCTGCAGAAGGCTGGCGACGTTGGCAGGGGTGAGGCTGAGGCTGCCTGTCCGGGTGAAGTCCAGGAGTGCCCGGAAGGGCTCTGCCTCAACCCCCTGGATCCGGATGTGCCGCTCTGCATGCTCCCGGGTGCCACCAAAGAACATGGCCTCAAAATAGCTGCTGTGGCAGGCCAGGGCCCACCGGTTGACAGGGAAGCACTTTCCCTCCACTTCCAAGACTGCGTCACACTCAGGATTGGCCTGAACTGCCATGCACGGGGACGGATCCATGCCGGCTGGCCGGACTTAGAAGCCGAACCCAGAATAAAACACCCTCCTGCCCTGCGAACTTGGCTCCCGCTCAAACCCTGGTGAAAGGCCAGCGGAGCAGTTGCTAGGCCCAATATAGACACGACTCCGATCCTAAAAATAGAGAGCAGCCTCCTTTACCCAGCCCCTCCTCCTACCTAGGCGCTGCCCCTTTTGTCTGTCCGTCTGGAGCAAGCACCACTGGGTCGATACAAAAGGAAGAGGCACACCGATCCTGGCGATGCGAGGTAACTAGCAGGAAGCCAGATTGAGGAGTATTAAGAATGTTTGCATTCTGAGTTGCATAGTACAACAGTAGGATAACTGCTCAGCTGCCCAAAGTCTTTGACTCTTGTCTGAACATTGCAACCGACGGCATTTCAAAAGACTTGACCCTAAGAGAGAAACGATGGACTGGACTGTGCCTGGGAGGCTCCATCTCCCTTTGGAGAAACAAGTTGGACCCGGAACAGATCAAACTGTCCATCCACGGCCCAAAGAACCATCGTTGACTGACTGGCGCAGTGCTCTCCTCTTTTTTATCATCCTTATATTTGTGAGTCAGCCTCCTTGGTGTTGCAAGTTTGCCCTCCGTTATAAAATTGCTAAAATTATTAATCTTTTATGCAGCACTGTAGCTTGGCCAATTTGTCTCTAACATAGAAAGGAGAGAGAGAGAGAAGTTGGAAATGGAAGCTCAGCCATTACTTGTTTGGCCTAGGATGCAAATGGAATAATCAGCGACAGCACTTATATACTAGCCCTCTCTAAGTGGTTTACAGAGTCAGTATATTGCCCCCAACAATCTGGGTCCTCATTTTACCGACCTCTTGCGTTGGATCAAATTCTAGCCCAACAAGCAAAGCTGGATAGTTTGTAATCAAGCAACCATATCCAGACTAGGTTTAAAATTGTAGCCCAGGAATCATTTTGAAGAAAATAGCTGTTGTCCCTCAAACCCAGAGTACCATTTAAATTAAGTTTATAATTTTTTTCACAATGAGCACTACCCATGAGTTTTCACACTATCCAACATTCAACTTGTGAAAAGGTTCAGCAGGTGTTTTATTATTTGTCAACTCGAAAAGTCTCCTCCTTCAGTGAGGAATGAAAAGGAAGACGAATGCTGACAAATTACACAAATGTTGTCACCTTTTTTTATAACTAAGCGTTCACATGGCTGCTATTCACTTGTCCTGGATGCCTTCCTGAGAAAACAGCACAGAGTTATCAGCAAAGACGAAGGCTGGAGGACACAGGACCCAACTAAGGAGCAAACTGCATTGTTTATCCAGCGATTGAAGGAACAAGAATCAACAAGAGTAGTCGGGCATATTTTACCGAACCTTCCAATTTGCTTTTGTTTACAGCAGAAAGGTGGTCCAAAACAGCTGCAGACAAAAGACATCACCTCGTTGTAAGACTATGTTCTGGCCCACATACAGTGTCACACAAAATAAAGGGGGGGAAAAATCCTATACAAAAAGAGCATAAAAAAATATTTTCTCTTGCAAACGAGGCTCCTTCCCAGAGACTGCATTCTGCTCCTCCTAAAGTCCGAACCGGTTCAGCCGTCTTGCTGTTGAATGAAGGGGTTGGGGATGGCTTCCATCCCGTCCTGCGGGCAGATGAGGACCACGGAGGTCCCTCTGCAGACCACCAGTCCCAGCTGACGGGTGTCTTCGGTGAGTTTGTACTGGTCATCTGGATCTGTGGGGGGGAGGGAAATTAGGAAGGCAGGCAGCAGGGTGTGTGTGTGTGTGTGTCTCCCATCGTCTTCTCTCTGTAAATAAAAAGCCTCCAAAGGGGAGGCGGGAAGCAGGGCGGAACCCACTCCCACCCCCACTCCTGATGAAGTTACCCAGCCGGGTCCTGAAACGTCTGCGAGGAAACCGCCAAAACCCCAGAGAGCACCCGGGACACGCAACTCCCACCCCCATTTTATCCGAAGAGCCCCCCCCGAAGGGGAACGAGGAGGGGGGCCGCCTCCCCTTCGGACGGGGGGGGAAGAGAGACGCACCTCTCATGTACTCGACGGTGCCGTCCAACACCAGGTTGAGCAGCGGGTCGAAGCCTTTCAGGACGCCGCTGGCTGTCGGGAGAGAAAGGGAGAAACGCCTGGCACCCCTCCATGAGAACCCCGTCCGACCGGCGGCCACGGAGACCCCCCATCTGACCCCACAGCCCCAACAGCCCCCCCTCACCTTCCCGGCCGCCCTGGAACTTCACTCGGATGGTCTTGTCGATGTACTTGGAGAGGTCCAAGATGCTCTCCTTCTTCTTCTTCTCCTTGTCCTGCGGGGGCAGCGGGAGGCCGTCAGACACACGCACGCACGGACGCACACACATACACACGCACACAAACCCCGCGCGCCCACAGGGGAAGGAAGAGCCCCCCCCTTGCCCGCGCTCACCGCCATCTTGCTCTCGCCGGGCACTCCGCGCCCAACCCCCCCTCCTGGCGTCACTTCCGCCCGCGGGCCTGTCGAGACCGCCCTTTCGCCCCTTCTCCAATTAGGGGCGGGGAACGCGATCACGTGGCCGAGAGGTACCTCCGCGAGCGGACGAGGCTTCCGGGCTGCCGCGCGAGGCTCCTCGGGTCGCCTCCGGATCCGCTGCGGCAGCGAGGCTCGTCTTGAGCGGGGGCTTCCCCCGGTGGAGCCTCTGCGGACGGGAAGAGGCGGAGCTCCCCGCCGGCCGGGGAGGAACTTCCGGGGTTGCTAAGTAACGGGCGCTCGCTTCCTGCCTGGCGCCGGTCAGCCTCTCCCCCCTTGTCCCGCTGCCGCTGCCTCCGGTGCCCGCGGGGAGACGCGAGGGAGGCGGCCATGGCGGCTGGCGGGCCGCGCGGGAGGTGGGTGCTGGCGCTGCTGGTGGTCGCCCAGGTGAGCCTGGGGGCGGGGGGAGGGGGGAGAGGAGGGAGGCTGGGTGGGCGGGCGAGCGGGGTTCCTGGAGCTGGCCCGGCTGCTGTGCCTCCCCCGCCAGGTCTCCGGCGAGTTCGGCGTGGTGCGCGTCTTCCCAGAGAAGGGCGGCGGCGGCGGCGGGGGGAAGGACTACTGCATCCTCTTCAACTCCCAGTGGGCCCACCTGCCCCACGACCTGGGCAAGGCGGTGAGTGCCGCGCGGGGGGAGGGGCGGTAGGAGGGGGAGGGGCGCTGCCCCCCCCCGCTGGACCGGCTGACGAGACGGTTCCCCCCCCCCGGTGCCTCCCCTCCAGTCTCCGCTGGCGCTGCAGGATCAGACGGCGTCGGTCTTGTGCGCGGCCTCCGAGGTGCCCGAGGGGGGCTTCGGCAACGCGGTGCCCATGGTGATGCGGGGCAACTGCACCTTCTACGAGAAGGTGCGCCTGGCGCAGGTGAACGGCGCCCGCGGGCTGCTCATCGTCAGCAAGGAGAGGCTGGTGAGTCCGCCGGGCGAGATCCTCCCCCCCCCCCGGCAATTGGAGGGGGCGGGGACCTCCGTCCTTGGGCGCCCAGGGGGGGAGGGAAGGGTTGCCCGCGCCCCCTCTTTTCTCTTCCCTGTTACAGTCTTTGTGTAGGAAAAGACGGAATGGGATAGAAAAAGAAGGAAGCAAGAAAGCCAAAAGAAGTCAAAAGATACTGAAAAAGTGACTTTTAGTCTCGTTCGCACATCCTTATTTATACATGGAATACTGGAATCCTGCATCCAGTTTTGGTCACCACATTCAAAAAAGGTGTTGAGACTTTGGAAAAAGTGCAAAGAGCAACTAGGATAATTATAGGCCTGGAGACAAGAACATTGGCTAGTTTTAGAGAAAAGGACCAAGGGGGACATGATAGCAGCATTCCGGTATTTGAGAGGCTGCCCCAAAGAAGAGAAGGGGGGTCAACCTATCCTCCAAAGCGCCTGAAGGCAGGACAAGAAAACAACAGATGGAAACTAACCAAGGAGAGAAGCAATCTGGAATTAGGGAGAAACTTGCTAACAGTGAGGACAATTAATCAGTGGAGCTAGGTTGCCTTCAGAAGTTGTCGATGCTTCATCACTAGAGATTTTTAAAAAGTGCTCAGACAACCATTTGTCTGAAATGGTATAGAGTCTCCTGCTTGAGCAGGGGGCTGGACCTCCAAGGTCCTTTCCAGCTCTATTCTGATTGAATTAAACGTCCTTGGAACTGTTTCCCCCTTTCTAAGTTGCATCGCATAGTTCCCTTCTCCCCTATTCAACCCTGAATAATCAGTACATTCAGAAACCATCACTTCATTTCTATCCATAAAATGAAAATGTTTATCCACATAAAAGTCCATAAAAGGGTTTACAGTCTTTTATAAAAGTAGTTGTTTCCTCCTTAATCAAACATTGATTCAGCTATTTCTGCAAGTTCAGCCACCTTCACAACCCATTCGCCAAGGTTTAAGGTGATTCTGTCCTGTGGCAATAGCAAAAGATGCTCTGGCCTTGTGTTCCTAAGCACACACATCCTGTAACAATTCTAACATCTTCAAGTCTCCCTCCAATGCATGTGGGTTGAACAAAGTGGCTCTGGTACTTGTTAAATAGATGCTGCTGAGTTTAGATTTCGGGGCCACTGAAATTGAGTTGATGATTCCTAGGTGGTGTATTTAGGTGCTGTTTTCCTTTCTACTCTCAGGTGCCCCCCGCTGGTAACCGGACTCAGTATGAGGAAATTGATATCCCAGTGGCCCTGCTCAGCTATGCGGATATGCTAGACATAGGACAGGTGAGCCTCCTCTGTGTTTGTCTGGTCTTCAACATAGTCAGGCATGAGGTGCCTCTAGATCAGAGGTCCCCAACCTTTTGGGCACCAGGGATGATGATGATGATGATGATTGCCAAAATAAAGAAGATGGAAGTCATTGTGGAAATTACTCTTGAAACTTTTGGATTAAAACATTCTAGGGGATTTTATACTGCTGATCGACTCTGGAATTCTTTGTGTTTGTTTTTAAAACAAAGGACTGCCTAAATGATGTTTTGAGTTTGCTGTGAGGAAAGGGTGAAATAGTTTTGATTTTAACTGCTTCTAATTGGACTAGACCTGTGGGTACCTAAACAAAGAGGCAGAATCTTTCCTTTTTTCTTTTTTCTTTTTGTATAGTAATGTTTGACCACAAGAGGAAGCCTATTGCTACTCTTTTTAACTTTCCAATGGCGTTACCAAACCCATTGAATTTTTTGCTATAAATCTGTAACTTTAAAACTTTTAACTTTAAAATCTAAGTTTCAGCCACACATTATTAACATGGCCACCCATAAGAGGACAGAAAAAGTAGATTATTCAGAGATACAGAATTTTTAAGACCTTGTTTGGATGAACACGCAGCTAAAACAGATGAATTAATTCAGGCAATGGGAATGAAGCTTGAATCCAAACTTGATACACTTGCAAAAGAACTCTGGGAGGAAATCCAACATTTAACTGGAGACAGAAGGATAGAGTGGACGTTATAGAGCATAAAATGGAGAAGACAAATATTTTGTTTGAAGTTGACCTGGAAGAGAGGGCAATTTTGGAATCTCAGATTAAATAATTTCAATTAAGCTTCTGAGCAATTCTTGAACAGTCAGGAGAAGATACTACACTAAGGATGGTTAAAGCGTTGGCTCAGTTGGTTAATTGGGAAGAAAAATTCTCAATATGGGTGTAGACAAAGCCTATAAAGTAAACTCCAGATTTGCCACAATGAGAAAGGAACATCTTAGTTCACTTTGTAAGAACAACAACAAACGATTGTGCTTTGGATTGCCACTTTAAACTCAAACTGAGAATAGAAAACGTGGATATAATTGTTCTGAAATAAATTTCTGGTCAGAATTTTGAGAAAAAGGAAAGCTTATGCTTTGCTTACTGATATCTTGAAGAAAAGAAAAATCTCCTTCAGCTGGGATAGAGTTGAAGTGATACTTACCTATCAGGAGCGAAGGCTTAGATTGAATTCCATAGAAAAAGCCAAGAACTTTTTGATTAGACATAAACTAATTTCAGATCCAGCTGAAGAAATAGATATAGAAAAGAAACTTGAGGTAGAACAACCTCAAAAAGGTGGTACCGAAGAAAACGTGGCTGAGATATCTGTATAGAATCCTGCTACTTTGTTTAAAGATGGAGATTACGTCTGTTATATGGAATATTAATGGGGCAAACGCCCCATTTAAGCTTAAAAAACTATTTCATTATCTGAGGAAAATCAATATTGACAGAATCTGTCTTTCCAAAAACACATATCAAGGAACAAGATAAGACAATCACTTAAATATGAGCCAGCCGTGCGCTGCAGCTACCAAAAAAGCCAACACAGTGCTAGGCTGCATTAACAGAGGAATAGAATTAAGATCACGTGAAGGGTTAATACCACTATACAAGGCCTTGGTAAGGCCACACTTGGAATATGGCATCCAGTTTTGGTCACCACGATGTAAAAAAGATGTTGACACTCTAGAAAGAGTACAGAGAAGAGCAACAAAGATGATTAGGGGACTGGAGGCTAAAACATATAAGGAACGGCTGCTGGAATTGGGAATGTCTAGTTTAATGAAGAGAAAGACAAGGGGGGGGACAGGATAGCTGTGTTCCAATATCTCAGGGGCTGCCCCAAAGAAGAGCAGTCAAGCCGTTCTCCAAAGCCCCTGAAAGCAGGAGAAGAAGCAACGGGTGGAAACCAATCAAGGAGAGAAACAATCTGGAACTAAGGAGAAACTTCCTGACAGTGAGAACAATTAACCAGTGGAACCACCTGCCTCCAGAAGCAGTGAATTCTCCGACACTGGAAGTTTTTAAGAAGAGACTAGGCAGCCATTTGTTCGAAATGGTATAGGGTTTCCCGCCTGAGCAGGGGGTTGGACTAGATGACTTCCAAGGTCCCCTCCAACGGTTTATTATTATTTATTATTATTAAATGCTTAACAAATCTATGACCAGGGGAGAAATTTATATCAGCCGGTTTAAAAAAAAAGTCTGTGGAATTGTCTTATATGTAAAACCCCAACTTAAATCTAAGTTACTCTTAGCAGATGAACGTGGTAGATTTGTAGTAATGGAAATTGAACAATGGAATAAAATCAATCGTAGTTGGCCTGTACAGGCCAAATGATGACAAAAGTAAATTTTTTGAATATCTTATGGATCAGTTAATACCCTTTTTGTATGAAAATTGGTTTATGTTGGGGGACTGGAAGGGAGTGGTTTTAACATCTACCAAGGGGATTGAACCTTCCCGGGGTAAACTTCCAAAGACCTTCTTTGAGATGATGGGCAGTTTAATACTAATAGACTCATGGAGATACAAAATGGTTCAGCTAGAGAATATACTTTTTTTTTCAGAAAGACATAAATCTTTTTCAAGGATTGATATGATACGGATTTCTAAAAATCTTGCAAAAAAATTGTAAAAGTCAATATTTTACCTAAATCTTTTCCTGACCATAATCCAGTACTTTTGGTGCTTAGAGGAAAGAGTTTGAGCTATAGATAGAGATTAAATGAATCTATTCTGCAAAAGGAGATGATTGTAAAAGATTATTAAAAAAACAAGCATTTTGATAATCTAGGTAAAGGGACAACTTTAACAACTGTGGGGTGCTAATAAAGCTGTTAGGAGGGGTTATTTTATAAGGTAGAATCGCTTAGATAAGAAAAAATCTCAGGAAAAGACACAAAAGATATTGGATGAAGTTAGACAGAAAGAAATTGAACTGCAAAAGACACCTACAGATCCTAAAACTTTACATCAAATTAAATTGTTACAGCAACAATTTTCCATGTTAATAGTTCAAGAAATAGCAACAAAATTGAAGTATGTGAGACAAACAAAGGCACTTTGGGTTTGCAAATAAACCAGGAAGATGGTTGGCATATAAACCAAGGAAGGAAGGCAGGGGAAAAGAGAATGATCGAGAAAATTTGTGAAGGCAAAAATGTAATAATAGATAATGAGCTTGTTAAAAAGACCTTTCATAATTTTTACAGAGCTAGATATGTCTAAAATAGATGAATATCTTTTAAGACAATGGTTGCCTAAGCTATCACAAACTTAGAGACAATTTATGAATGATCCAGTAACTGCCTTTGATATATCAGAAGCTATTAAAAAAGTGAAATCAGGCAAAGCTCCGGGACCAGATGGCCTGACAAGCCAATATTTTGAATGCTCTGAAGAGAAACATCTTCAGTCACTAAAGGATATAATGAACAATACATTTACAGGGGGGAGAGATTCCTCAAACGCGGAAAGAAGCCAGTATTGTGTTATTACCGAAGGAGGTTCAAGATGTTACAAAGACAAAGAATTAGAGACCAATTTCATTATTAAACAAGGACAACAAACTCTTTGCTGCAATTTTAGCAGAAAGACTAAAGAAGATCTTGCAGGCATATATATTCATGAAGACCAATCTGGCTTTCTGCCAAAAAGACAAGTGATAACGTGAGGACTGTTTTGAGTATCATTGAATATTTACAATACCATAATGAGAAACAGGCAGCTCTAATATTCTTAGGTGCGAGGAAAGCCTTTGACAGATTAAATTGGGTGTTCATGTTTAAAGTGCTGGAAGAAATGGACTTTGGAGAGAAGGAGTCAAAACTGTTTATACGTCACAGCAAGCAAAGATTGTTATCAATGGTGGTTTAAATAATTCATATGAAATTCAAAAGGGTAAAAGATTTCACCAAAATCCATTTCCTGTAGTTGTTGAAACATAAATTGCCAATTTAAATTATCAAATGCTTTTTGTGCGTCAAGAAATATGAGCGCTTTATTAAAGCAATCCAAGCGATCTACAAGAAACAATCAGCAAGGATACTTATAAATTATTATACAGAGAGCTTTGATATTAAAAAAGGCACAAGACAGAGATGTCCACTCTCACCCCTGTTATTTATTTTTACTCTGGAGGTATTGACTAGAAACATCAGGCAAGACATAGAAATTAAAGGTCTTGAGATTAAAGACCAGAAATACAAATTACAGGCTTTCGCAGACGATCTGGTCTTTATCTTAGAGGAGCCTTTGGAAACAGCCCCTAAACTTTTGCAGAAAATTGAGAAATTTGGAGAAGTGGCTGGATTGAAAATAAGTAGGGAAAAAACTAAAGTGTTAACAAAAAATTTAACTGATAAACAGAAAACTCAATTCGTCAAAAAGACAAATCTTGAAATAGTTAAAAAAGTTAAATATTTAGGTATCTATCTTACGGCAAAATTACTAAAAGAAGGTAACTATGAGAGACTATTAAAACAAAAATCGACCTGGAAAAATAGGAAAATCTCCAACTATCATTGTTAGGAAGAATAGCGACTGTTAAAAATGAACATTTTGCCAAAGCTAATTTTTTTTATTTCAAACAGTTCCTGTAAAGTTGGGTAAAAATTTTTTTGACGATTTAAACACAATGATATTAAGATTTATATGGCAAAGAAAGAAAGCAAGAATTAAATGTAAACTTCTACAAGACTCAAACGATAGAGGGGGTTTTGGACTTCCGGATTGGAGACTTTATTATCGAGCAGCTATTTTGCTTTGGCTTAAAGAATGGATTACTCTGAGAAATAAGCGAATTCTCTATTTAGACAGATATGACCTTCAACTAGGCTGGCATGCCTTTTTATGGTAGGAGAAAGCTAAAATACGTAAGTACTTTCAAAATCATGCTATAAGAAATGTTTTACTCTCTGAATGGGAGAAAGTTAGACACAAAATGTATATGAAAATTCCTGAATGG